CTTGTTGCTGAGTCCCCTTCCCGGTTGGGCTACAGATGAGGCTGAAGGTGGAGTCGGCTTTTATGCAGGAGGCTGAGCCGTGGACCAAACCACAGCTTTGCCCGCACGGGGGAATTAGGGCGGTTTGTGTGACGGTGTAGGTCAGATATTTGGTTGTGCTCCCCTGTATGCTTTTGTGGTTCAGTCAGCCGCTGTACATGTTTCCCTGAGTTTCACTAAGTGGTGAGTGGTTAATGAAGGGGATGTGTTGCATTGCTAAACCTTATTCTGAAACTGTTTTAATCGGGGCCCTAGAACTCCATTCATGGATTTTTTGGATTAAATAAAGTAAAAACCTGTTTCCTTGTGCCTTGACAACTTCCACTGGGCTGTTACAATGTTATAATTCCCTTCAGGGGGAAACCGCTTTGGTTATATATTTGATTGGATTCATGTTAAAAAGTTATTGACATTTACAAGGGACTATTATTGTTAATTCATTTGTTTAGCACTTAAAACTAATTTGAAGTGTTCTGGCGTTTGCTATGAAAGGCCGTCACACCCGTTAATGTACTGTTAACGTCAGTTAACGCGAACTGGTTACGGTACAAAGGCATCTCCGCGCAGTTAACGGTAAATGTCTCCGTATCGACGTCTCGTCGGGGTGACTGAGTGAGGCCAACGTCGGTTGACGTTACCGGACTTCAACATGTCGCGTCTCTACTCATCGTTGTCACGTGTGTCAGAGGACGTTACCGTCAGCTGGTACGGTCATTGGCTAGTGACGTCAGTGACCACCCGGTGACTGTTACCGCTTCTCACTGGGAGGAATGCCAGCCGTTCCCCGAAGGACCGCTTCCAAGCACGTTACGTTTAATTCAATTCAATTCAATTCATTTTATTTTATTTTGTATAGCCCATAATCGCAAATTACAAATTTGCCTCAGAGGGCTTTAGAGTCTGTACACATACAACATCCTCTGCCCCGAAACCCACCATCGGCACAGGAAAAACTCCCCAACAAATAAAAAAAATAAACCTTACAAGAGGGTTTACACATGAAACGTTGCTTCATATCAGTTTTAAGGGTAAACTGCCCGAAATTGTCCCTCTTTGACAAAAAAAAAGAACTAACGTCAGCGAAAACGTGTCACGTTAATAACGGTAACGTCTGTTCAAGTTAAGGAAATGGAAACGAGGAGATGAACTTTCGTCGACGCAGATAAGAGACGGAGAGTCGGTGTGTCCGTGCTGAGCTGCTCGTGTCCTTCACAAACAGCAAACAGGCATCGAGAGAGAAGAAACGAGCTGTAAGGAAGCTTTTGTTACTTACGAGATGTCAGCCGTCTGCTTGTTGTCTGAAACGCCTTCTGCGGCGTTCAGGGTCCCCTCGTAAACTACAACCTCAATGCTGAAAACTTTTCAGATGTCTCCAAGTGTATTTCCTGTTGCAGTGGGGGGTATTCGTGAATTAATTGTATTGACAAATGCATTGATATCATATAGAAAATACATAAACAGAGTACTGGCGTAAATCAGATAAAATAAAATAATATTCTAATAATCCTTTATCAGTCACGCAGTGTGGAAATTGACAGGATTACTCGCTACATCACCCTGCTGTCTCCCATCACCTCCACGTTATCCAGAGGACCCCCAGCGTGCTGCACACCTCATCATACACCAGTCAAATGCTTGCTTTTGTTTAAAATGTAATTTCCAAACAACTCATGCCTTGTTTTGTATTAATTAGTTTTAATAATAGAAACGTTTTTAATCATTATTGTAAGATTTTGCTAGTGATAAAATCTAATTAATCATATAATATTGATTTGCTCTTGTCTGAGTTTTTCCAACAGGAGCCAAATGACAAAACCTGCAGTTCACATACAGTAAATAGAAAAAACATTGATGGATAACTGCAAAAAAGTACTTTTAAAGACATTTCGTTGATCTTATCATATCTCAAATTAAATATTAAGAAGGTGTGCATGCAGACCAGGAAATTGTCTTGTGTGTAACATTTAAATGTATTTCTTTCCATGGTCTCCATGTTTTGAGGACAACATCTACATTAAGCAGTTTTTCAGAAGGCCATAATCGTCATACACCGAAAATCAAATCTTTCTCTTTTTTTTTCAAAACCCTAAACTAGTTTATTGATAGTTTTAAATTTCTTATTCATTCAAGCAAATGGTTTTGCAAGGCGTGGGCAAAAGAGTATTGTGTACAGTTTGTAAGAAAGACACCTGCACACAGATTTGGAGTTGATTCTTCCAAACAATCTCTAATTGTTGAGCAATCAAACAATCAAACTAGAATACCACACATGTATGGTATTCTAGTGTTTGATACAGTTAGCAATACTTTATCCAGCCAATGAAAATGTGTGACATTTGCTATTGAGGGGAAGGAGGCAGAAATGTTGGGGGTTTTGAAAAACAGACAATTGTGGCGCCAGTTTATAATGGGCAGCTTTTTGTCCTGTTTCTCTTGAGACATAACCTCAGAAATAATTAAAATTAAAAAAAACTTCTTGTTTTTCATAAGGCATTTTCATAAACAATGATCTTATGAATGTAAATGATGTGTGTTTGAGAAAGAGACTGTCTGCACTTGTGTTAAAAGCAAGCATGTTCTGACATACTGTTTGTGTAGATAAACCTCCAATATAATATGTTACTAGATTATATGTCAAGTTAAGCTAAATTCTGGGTTTTCTTTTGTGTGATTTATGTTCCTGTGATTAAAAAGTGAGAAGAAAGAAGAAAGTGAGAAGAACATCATTGACCGTGGGAGGGAGGGCTGTGGCAACAGGGGGCCACTAGAGGAGCATTTTAGGCTCCTCACCTCAACCCTGGAGGAGCACAGGTTGAGGGAGAAACCCTGTCAGTTGTACAACTGCAACGAGACAGGGTTTCAGCTGGACCACACAGAGGAAGGTCACTTTGCCCCAGGGGAATAAACATGCCTACAGGCAGGCCCAGGGAACTAGGGAACTAGGGAACTAGGGAACTAGGGATCACTGTCCTACACAGCTGGGGAGGATATCCCCTCTTTCATAATTTATACGGGGGGATGTGCAGGGAGCCCCCATAACAAGACATGGGTCCCCGATGCCCTCAACGGGAAGTCCCCAGCAGGGTACATGGACACTGAGGTTTCAGAAAGTGGTTCATCAAGCAATTCACCGTGCAGGAGCGCCTGCTGCTGCTGGTCGTGGATGGCCATCAGTCCCACCTGGATCCACAGACCTGGATCCTGGATCCATCGGACTGCACAGAGGGAGGGGGTCATACTCTTGCTCCTGCCACCACACAAGTCTCACATTCTTCAGCCTCTGCATTTTTTTTAGACCCTTGAAGGCAGATTTCTCTGGCATTGTGGGAGATCTGTTGGCAGTGGGCCACTCTTTCCTGGTCTCCAAGGAGTTTTCAAGGTACCTAAGGAACTCCTACCAGAGGGTGAATGATCAGAGACTGGTGGTGGCTGGGTTCTGGCCTCTACCCTCCTGGCCCATTGGCCATTGAGTGGCCACGGGTCACAGCGTCCGGGCCGCGGCGTGGGCCTTCCTCCTCCTCATCACCTCCGTCAAAGCCTTCTTTCTGGGATGTGCCTGATGTTGCTGGGTTCAGGGGATGTTGAGAGAGATGCCACACATGGTACTACACTGTGTGTGTGGGCTGCATGGCAAGGATGATAAATATATATGCTATTGTCCTGATTTCTGATTAAATATTTGTTGATTGAATACTACTTTTAATTGTAATATAAAAACATTCTACACCATGTGTTATGACAGTATTTGATATAAACCAAAATATATGTGTGCATACTTGTTAAATCCAATGCATCATCTGGTCATTTTGAAAGACATTCGCGTGAGAGTTTAAGAAAACGTCCAACAGGTGGTGTTATGCACTCAAATTGAAATGAAAGCGCTTTTATTATACTATTTGGAGAGAGCCCGACATCGGGTTAAGGCAATACTAGCTCAAGGCTAATTCACCGGGATTAGTTTCCTTTTACCGACTCTGGTTAAGACAATTCTAACTTTCATAAATAAAACATTATTTGTCTTAGAAGGTGGGGAGCTAATGTTTATTTCAACACCATTAAATCACCTGAAAACCTTACATGATCATTTTCATCAATAGTTTTACTGGATAGCAAAGTTACCACCTGTCCTAAAAAATGTTCCTCTATTCATCTGCCTAATTAATTGGATGATATATATGAGGGTATATTTGTGTGTTTTGAGACACAATTTCTTGCATTGAAAACAAAATGTTTTCTCTTTGGAAGCAAAAGCATATAAACTGAGAATAAATTAGTTCTTTGTTTTGCTTGTAGAACCAGAATTTTCAGTGAGTATTATTACCTAGAAAAGACGTCTATGGCCGACTTTTTGTAGACGTCTACGTTTAGATCACATTTCAACGTGATTTACTGAAAACAGTGGGAACAACGGAAAAACCTTCAGGGTTCACTGCCATGTTAAAAAAAACATGATGGTAAGACAAAATGTAATTTGATGCTGGTTTCACATTCAATAACTACGCTTTAAAAAAATGGATGGAATGAAATACTTCCTTTAGCAGCCAAAGTCAGAATGTTATATGTTTATTGAGTTTAATACGCATATTCACATGAAAACATTAGTTATGACAACAAAATAAACAAACAAAAGGTTTTTGGATAAACACATATTCAACATTATATTCTGTCATAGGAATTGCATGTATTATACATTGTTCATTCTGTACACATGGCATCCATTGTAGTCTGTCCATCCCGGGAGTGGGATCCCTCCTCTGACGTTCTCCCTAAGGTTTCTTCCCTTTTTTCCCTCTTGGAAGGGTTTTTTCATTTTTTGGGGAGTTTTTCCTGTGCCGATGGTGGGTTTCGGGACAGAGGATGTTGTATGTGTACAGACTGTAAAGCCCTCTGAGGCGATTTTGGACTCTACAAAATTAAATTAAATGAATTAAATTGAATTGAAAATAATTTGAAAGAAAATATGTTTTGTAAAATACTTTAATGTAGCTCCACGGAATTCAGATGTTGTTGTTTTTTACAATTGCGTAATACAGAGGACAAATAAATGAGCTGTGAATATGTTTCATAAATATATATGTTAAAACAGGTTTATGTATTAAAAAAAATTCTAAGAATTAGCTGTTTCACATAAATGAGGCGTAGAAGAACTAAGAGTAACTGAAAGAGCAGAGAAAACACAGGCGAGACTGCACTGATTTCACCCGCTACATGAGGATAGAGAATCAGGATAATGAAGAACACTTATTTTAAAAACATAACGGCATTGTGCTCTACTAGAGGGTTTGACCCCCAGTGAAACGTTGGATCTGTACACACGTCTTTGACTCTTTGTCAGATAAATGTTGAATGTCACATAAACACATTATATTAGTATTCAGTTTCATCTTCCACCATTCAGCGCACATTACAGTAAATATCTTCTTATGAACATATATACAGACATGTAGATGCGTTGATCAAGGTACATTGGCCAAAAGAGCTTTCTGACAACGCACACAGTTGGTTATAATTAAATATGAATAAATTAAATGGAAAGTGGGCCTTCAACATCGTCTGACAGGTTAGTTATTTAGTTGGAGGAACATACGAGGGGGGAGTTTCACGCGTGCCTTGCCAAACGTTTTTTAGAAACAGGACCTGTAGTGCCGAGTGTCAGCCTGTAGGGGGCGCTGCGAGGTCCCCGTTGACTCGTGGCTGCTGTCATGACTGGTGGCGGGACGCTGGATGTTCATACTGCAGATCTAAATGCTCTAACTGGCAGGTCGGTCTTCTCACAGCTGGGTGATCCCGCTGACCTCCCGCCCCTTCTCGCTGCTGTGAACTTTGTCATCACACTCGAAGGCGCTGTTCTCCACAGCGTGAGCCTTCTTTGATTCGCCTTCGCCGGCTTCCAGGGATGCATCCTCAGTCTCTTCATCAGCTGGGTGACACAATCGTTTATATGCCTGATATGCTGTGAAAGAAAAAAATATAGGTTCAGAAATGGGATCAGTCACCTTGACTTTTACCTTTTAAAAGGATCCCTACGTGCTAATAATGAGTATAAGAAGCATGATTTTCCACCGTGAGCGCAGCAAAAATCCCCACAGGACTTTCACTAAGGAGGCCGTGGTTCTGGTGTGAAACCTAAAGTAAACTTAATCTACATAACGTCATTCCGCTTGTTGCATAAGAGAGTCTACTATGCAGCGTTGCTATGGTGACATTGCTATACGGCTAATATGTTAACCTGTTACTTTATTATTGGAAAGGAAACACATCTTTTCCATAAACAAGTAGTTTTGTTTCCTAAACATCAGCTTTTGTCTCACAACATCCGATGTGAAACGTATTTATGGTTCCGCGAAGCAGACTCATCACCCGGAAACATTTATTACCAAAATATGTCAAACATACAAGGAATTTGTCTTGGCGGTTAGTGCGTGACAGTAGACAGACAAGACAACAGTGCACAAGTAATAAAATAAAGTAAAATGAAATGCTAATGCAATGGCTTAGTAGAATAAGGCTATGGGTTAGTATAAAACAAGGGAATAAAGTTAAAGTTAAAAATTTAAAATATTAAAACGGTTTAAAAAAAGAATATTAAGCATAAAGTGCACTAGCGAACAAGTAACAAGTGACGAGTGACGACAAAGTGAGAAATGACAGTTAGGGTGGCGTGTGCAGTGTGAGGGGGAGTGACCGGTGGAGTGTTACAGTCAGTCAGTGGGGGACCGGCTCTGTTGATGAGCCCGACGGGAAGAAACTGTAGTTATCATGACCCCTGGATCCTGTGGATCTAAACAGCTAGTTCTAAATTAAGAAAAGTAGTTTCAATTGGTTATGCACTGAAGAAAATATACTTATTATTTTTAGATTGATCACTGTATCTCTTAAAATTTGACAGAATGGAGCAATGAGTTTCTGAAAAAAGGCGGTGAACAACAATCGTCGTGCCTTTCTGCCAGAAGCAACAGAAACAGAACGTCAGGATCTATTGCTTCTGCCATTCTAGATCGAAGATAAGATTAGAAGATAAGAATAGAAGTGGTTCAACCACGCACTGCATATAAAGAGCGGATGTGGTTGTAATGTAAAACTAGCATGTGGACTACACCGTTGCAGCCGTGCGTTTTTAGGCCATTGTCGTTTCTACAAGCAGCAGTGACGGCCCTCAGAGAGAACGCCGGTTCACGGCACGCTTTTCAAACTTGAGGTTGCCGAATGCCGTACAAGCTACTTATGTCTTAGTATAAGCCATTTAAACAACAAATGTTGAACTGTTAGCAGCCTTATTGAGGCGTGAGACAGCTTTAGCCTCACGGTCAGCTACATTCTCCTGGTGTTAAATGACGTCCAGTTTTAACAGAAAAGTGTCTCAATAATTTGGCATATAAATACCGTATCTGTTTCAGGCAACTGGACAAGATTTTTTTAGCGGAAGTGTTCTGGTTTCCATTTGTAGTTGTAGCAACATTAACCAATCACATTTGAGCAGGTTTTAGTTTAAATGAACGTTCTCCACCTGAAGTCCGAATACGTGGAACCTCAGGCTCATCTACCTAATAGCCGCGAATGTCTCAGCCAATTCACACTCACATCCGACTGAAAGGACGGCCACCACCAGCTGGAAGATGCTGTAGATGAGGGGGAACGAAAACATGACCTCCAACTCAGCAGGGCTGAAGGACAGCTGGACAATGGTGCTGCACAGCTGGGAGTTCTGGAAACCCGTCTCTAATGCGATGGTTCGACATCTGAACGAAGCAGGGACAATAATTCAGTTCATTCGTTTGTATGTTTGTTGATGCAGTAATGGTTGTGTCATTTAGAAAAACTGAATTATACTTAATTAAGCTATGCTATACACACACACACACATATATATATATATATATATATATACTATGCTATCCCCCTACCTGTTCCAGGGTTGACCCGTGAAGCGGGCTAAGAGGAACCCCAGGCCAAAACCAATGAAGGGGTAGATAGTTCCAATAATCCATAGGGAGGGATCAATGTCCCAGGAGGACTGGTAGAGAATTCCTCCAACCACCGCTATGATGAGAATAAGACCAAAGCCGGCTATGGATCCCACCTGCACAGCAGAAACACAGACAGCCACGGGTTCTAATTGGAGCCAAGCCATGTATGTCTTTGTCACAACAATATCCCGATCAAAAAGAATATTAGTGTTCTATTCATATGTTGCACACTTAGGCTCCTACCTTGAGGATCTTTTTGGCCCAGCGGGGCCACCTGCGTTTAACATATATTCCCAGAGCTATCGGGACTAGAAGGGCCAGCAGAGTGATACCTGAGTGTACACAGAATTCACATCATCACATAAATATAGGGTTACAATAAACTTGTTCAGGTCTTTGGGTTGTTCAAAACTACAAAAACAGAAGTTATTTAAAATACACAATGTTAACAATTTCTTTATATATACTGCATACTTATTTATTTTGTATGTATGATGTCGGTTGTAATGAGTCGCATAGTTACCAATGCTGTCATATGGGATCTGGATGGTGCTGGTAGAAGTCCAGGTGGAGGTGTAAATGAGCAGGCATAGAGGCATCATCCCCAAGGCCAGGATGGAGGAACACGCAGTCATGCTGACACTGAGACAGAGAATAAAATTGTGTGCAGTTACAATTATACGTTGAGATACTGTAAGCAAAGTGAGAAAATGGGATTTTAATTAATCATAATTAAAATAATACAATTTTAGGAAAGCATTTAGAATATAAAGAACGCAACACTATTGCATGGCATCAGAGTCAATAAAAAAATTTGATCTCTGCCTTTTTTTGGTTATTTATTGGTTTTCTACTTAACACATACATACACATAACACACAGTGGGACAAAGGCTGATTAGAAACATTGTTAAACTACAACTATGTTGTACTGGAAACAGATCAAGAATCAATATTTTCTGGTCACTGTTAGCCCAATAACAATAAAAACATTTTGTGTGTCAGGGGGACAAATATTATATTATTATTATTATTGATTTATCCAAAAAACACAAGGTGAACTATCATTTTCCAATGAGCCTGGCAACCTGCCATTCTGCCCAGCTAGTTTCTTACCTTAGGTCCATGTCTCCATCCAGCCAGTAGCAGATAATGTTGGAGCCCGAGCCTCCAGGACAGCAACCCATGATGATGATGACGACGGCCTGCACAGGCAGCACACCGAAGGCCAGTGACAAGGCGAAGGCTGTGAAAGGCATGATGCCGAACTGGCAAAGGAAGCCAATGACGATGCCCCAGGGTCGTCTGATGTGGCCCCACAGCTTTTCGGCATCCACAGTGCAGCCCATGGAGAACATGACCATGGCGAGCATTACGGTGAGCACTACGCTCAACGCCAAGCTCAGCATGTCATTGAAGTTACTGGGAGGAACGAGGCAGTTTGTGCCCGAACACAACGTGGAAAGAGGGTCGCATCCAGTGGGAACTGCAGAAGGCGCCATGAATATGGACATTGTGGACGTTGTAATGGGAACAGAAGAGAAAAGAAAGTGGTTCCCGAAGGAAAAGAGAAGACCGAATGAGATCTGGTAATTCTTAGATCCCACGAGATAATCTTCAAGTTTCTCCTTCTCCGATATCCCAAAGGATGCTGGTGTGAGTGACAGGATTCGTGCAGCTCGCTGCTCTTTATGCCTGCCTTGCTTCAGCCAGATACAATGGGGAGGGAAAACCAGCTGAAAGGCAAAATAAAAAATTAACCAATCCTAATGTTTTTATGGGGTCGGTGTTCAAATGTGCACATATATAAAAAGAGAATCACTCTGAAATATAAAATGTCATTGCAGCTTGGTTACAACGTTTCCTGCCCTTTGGCCTCTTTAAACTTTATTGGGCTGCTTCGTTATGCAGCATCATCACACGCCAATGAAGTAAGGAGGGAAGATGCTTCCAGTCCTCACAGACACACCCTGCACATACCAGGTAGTATTTGCACAGTGCCAATAAAAGTAACCAGTCATGGCCTAACCCTTTATTTAATCACTTTGTTCAAGCAAGGAAGTTAAATATGGAACACAAAATAAATGATACAGTGCACTCGATACAATATTAGCTTCATCACTTTCCTGTCATTTGAAAACCTTTTCAACATGGTTCTAGACCAGTATTATTAAATATTAAATACATACACACCCTGATTAAATATTGAAAACAATAAAAAAAAAGTTACAAGAAGGAATAAATATATTTTATAGGCACTTTACGTCACCATGTTACAGATGACATGTGTGTGGACAACACATATCACATTAAAATGATCTACAGCTGACACTCATTCCTGTGGGAAGCACTTAAGTCGAGGAGCGCAACTACTCAAATTAGCTTGTAAGTTTGCTGCAGACAAATGTTCTCTATGTCTGATAGAAAATTGGGTGGTTCTTACCTTCCCAAAGTCCAACTGAGGAGTCTGTGTCTGCCTCATGTGGAAGGGGTAAAGGTTGTCTGTTAACAGGAAAGTTAAGTATAAACAGGTCACACGACCGACATAATGCGTCCGTTTTGCATTCCATCCATTCGGATTACCACCTACCCTGAGACCTTGGGGGGTGGCGGGGGGGGTCAATCCCAGCTGGCATGGAGCGAGGGAACAGGGGACACCGTGGACTGGTTGGCCAGTCGATCACAGGTCTGAAGAGACAGACAACGCGTATCCTGCCTGTGGTCTGTGGCTGTGGGAGGAAGCCGGGGGACCCGGAGCGGACCCTCGCAGACACGGGGAGAACATGCAAACTCCACACGTTTCAACACAGGACACTCAAAGGAATAATGGGATTTGCATATGCAAAGCAAGGCAATTTTAAATGCTTGACATGAAACCATCAAATACCTCCAAACATAAAGCAAGGATATTTAAAAACAGTTTAGAGCATTGATTGAAACATAAAATATAAAAAATGACACCGTTAAAAAACTATAATAACATTTTGCATTGTAGTTTAAAAGTACCAAAATTACAAAATGCAGAAACGGTCAATTAAAGGGAGCTGCAAACAGAAACGTCTTTAATCTGGATCTAAAGGCGCTGAGGGACTCAGCAGACCTTCAGCTTTCTGGGACTTTGGTCCAGATATGTGGAGGAGAAAAACTGAACACTGCTTCTCCATGTTCAGTTTGGACAGAAAGTAGATCAGTGAGTGAGATGCCCTCAGGGTTTGTGGGGGTCCATAAGATATCAGCTGATCAGAAATGTACTTTGGCCCTAAACCATTGAGTGCTTTATAAACCAAGAGCAGGATTTTGAAGTGAATCCTTTTTTGGACAGGAAGCCAGTGTGAAGACCTGAGAAGTGGAGTCCACTTCTCCACAGGATCCACGTTCCTGGTCCTGTTAGGGATTTAAGCAGAGGAGCACTCCTAGCAGTCGAAATGATTACATGTGTGATAATGACTAGTGATAGAATTGTAATTTGTGTGTTATTAAGATTTATTATATTAGTATGTTAGATTAATAACTGCAATATATTCAACACAATGTATGTAATTTCATTATTGCACACAAGACATCCAGCCACAATGTGAGTTAAAGCCGGGGGAAGGACGCTTAAACCTTCCTTGTTGGATTTCTCCCATATTTTCTCCCCAATGAAAAGGAGGTTGTTGTTTTTGTGGGGTGGTTTTTGCTCCTGTCAGGCCGTTTAAGAGCAGAGGATGTAGGAAAGCCCTGTTTTGATTTTTGGATACTAGGTGTTCAGAGAAGTAAAGTAATGATTGAGTCGTCTCCTGGTTCGTACAGGCCTTTTGGAGGAACATTTTATAGGCGAAGGCCTATAAAGGCCTGACACCGGCTCACTAACCAGTAGACCTGTTCACAATCCATCCATGGCTTCAACTTTAAAAGCTTTGTGTGAGGATCTCATTAGCAGTATAAAGGGGTTTGCGGGGCATGTCCTCTCTGGATGAGGAAAGACCAGTGAATACTTATGGGAGCGCTTCTGAGGGAGTCTTATCGTGTCTTTATCTTTATATGTATCGTCCCATTAGCTTTTATCTTTTCCCCCCTCAATCGGACTTGTCCTGCAGTCAAGACGCAGTAAATGTTAAGTATCTTTCTGCTCTTGGAGTTTTTGTCACGTCAAGGCCATCACCTTAGGTGATCTGATTACAGATAACCATCTAATCTGATCCCGGCTGCGTCAAGTACCCGCTCTGCACTAAAACAAGGAAGGCAGGGAACCTTTGTGAAATGGTCCCACTGACTCACGACAGTGAGATTTCCAGTATGTGACCTTGGCCTCGACCATCTTCTATAAAAGGTTTATGACTTCATCTGCTGATTTGTTATGTAGTCGTCCACTTGCATTGTTCTTTGCAGACTACGTGTCCCATCATTCTTATACATGTTGTATAAGCACGCTGCACAAAACCCAAACAACTTTAGCAACTCTGCCCAGCAGGGTTCTGGAAAAGTGTCTCTATTTGAGTTTATAATATTTTCAACGTTTATTTTAAAAATCTGGTTCCAAGCAAAGATTTCACAATGGTTGTATTGTTGGTAAGAGTGCAGGTGGTAATATTAGTAGTAATAACGTTTCTTCCTGTGGAACGTAGAGGGTCGAATCCAGAGGGTCTCTGTAAGTAGTAGTAACAGTAGTAGTACTAGTTTTAATAGTAAGAGCACTGGTATTGTCGGTTATGGTGGACGTATTAGAAGCATCGGAGGAGGATGAAAGGAATAGGCATTTAGGTCTCAGACTTGAGGGACTGTATGTCCATGAGTGTTGTAATGAGGGAGAGAGAGATAGAAATATAGAAGAGTTATACAAAATCCTTCATGGTGTCTTTTTTTGTCAATGGAAACCGATTTTATTCAACAATTTTACTGTCCATCAAAAAACAAAACTTGTTCATCATTTGAAAAGAAAAGAAACCAGGTCCTGAGTTGAGACGCAGAGCCTCCCACCGGCTGTCCTCACAGTAAAGAGTCTTAAGACCTTGTTCCAATACAAAAAACACACTTTATTCATACAACAGAGCAAAAATAACATTAAATACACAGTACTAAAACAACGAGTACATTAAATAAACAAAGTGTGTTCTTTTTTCTGAATATAATGAAGAACGCAAAGGCAGTGGAGCTAGAGGACTATTTCTCCAACATGGAGAAGTTCATTCGTGGGCCGTGGAAGTTCATCCAGCCACAACGCTCACAGGACGGTTTACATTGCAGGAAGCGGACAAGAAAACCATCTATGCCAACTGTGTGAAGGAGGCAAATATAGCTGGGCTGTGCTGTCCAACTGGGACAAAGCGGAACTGGCCCACAGTGCAGGATTTTATATGTGCCTGCCCTAAAGACCTGGAGTATGGAGGATTTTACATGGTGCTGTGGCCTCCAATGCTGTTATCTTTGTTCTTAACCCCTCGTTCTTAGCCAGTGTCCTTTTTGTAAGCCTGGTTACTGCGGTCAAGGTCTAACAGCTCTATTTTGCAGCACGTGTGTGTATGAGGCGTTAAGGTAGCAGCGTGCAAGATCTGACTTCAAAATAAGAGCAGTTCCGATGAACGTGATAGAACATGTCACATTCATTCCATGAGTCTGTAAATCATAGATAGACAGATGTGCAGGAAATGAGTGTGTGGGGGGGGGGGGGAAGCAAAAGAAGAAGAAAGGAGAGAAACGGAACAAAGGAGAGGAGGAATCAGTAGGTATCAGGGGAAGGGAAGGCTCCTGGTCTGAGGGGGAGTGTGGCTGCTGGTGCTCTGCCTGAAGGGGACGAGATGCAGAACGACAAGGACTCTCGACGGAGAAGTCAACGACCTGGACGGTTATGGAAAATCTGTGAAAGTTTATGACTATTTTCAGTGCATAAATGTATTAAACGTGTGTTGACGTTACAGAAACTGGTTGGAAAGGATTCAGTCAATTGAGAGAAACGTGACGCGTCTCAGGACGTTGAGGAAAAGGCCCCAAAAGGCTTAGAATGAATAAGCGAGTCTGTGATGGACGTGTCACACTGTGTCGAACTATCTGTTACTGTCGATGTCTAGGCAACCACCCCTTGTTTTTTCCCTTACACACGCTGAGGGTTGGTTCTTTAAACATTAATGGTGGGAGGGACTTGACAAAAGGGAGCAGTTACTGCTGACATAATCAAACCCGCGTTTAACATCGTTTTGCAGGAAACACACAGCGACCCGCAGAATGAGGCCGATCGGGGGTTGTGGTGGAAGATGTTCACCTGGGCTGGATGTGAACATCTTCTCCTCCACAGAGGCGTAGACATGGATGGGTTTAGTCATCAGAGCGTCAATAGACCACATTTGATCCAAGCATGAAGAAAGTGAATTAATGAAATGGTTCCTGTGTCAGTCACTCCTCAGCGAACTTCAAAAGGGTCATTGAAGATTTAGGGATGAGATCAGGGATCTGCACCAGCAGGGAGAACCACTGGGGTCCTAGGAGAACGAGACAAAGGCGCTTTGGTCGGGTTGAGGTCCATCCGTGTTATGGACATGGATGCTGTTACATCCCACTTCTTTAATCTGGAGAGTTGCCTTTCTCCGACCAAACAAATGGTGCGTCTCCACCTCCACGCTGTCAGGATGACAACTGGCACGGGCGAAATGAGGCAGCATGCCGTCGGCTTCTACAGCGCCCTCTTCAGGAAGGAGGCGAGCACTGCCTCCCTCAGCTGGCCCGGACGCCGCCGTCCTGGACGCCAGCATCTCCCTGGCGGGGCTGACTGCTGCTGGGGGGCAGGTGGCTGCTTCTATGCTCCTGCCTACTTAATGAAACATTTGTGGAGATGAATGGGAGGCAAACTGAAGGGGAGGGTTAGGGGGCTGCAGGTGAAACAGTTGCATTGTGGGTCCGGCGGTTCTCTGCTCAGCTCTGAGCGGTGTCCGTTAGTCTGATGCTCCCTGTGACGTGAGCGATGAAGCATCTCAGGAGGTAGATCCCCTCGAAATGGAGGGAGCTGTTAAACAAGAAGCACATTTTACATGGAATTACTGTTAACACGCACGCACTTTGTAATTTCCTTTTTCTTAAATGTTGTGAATAAAAGGTTTTATAACTGCAGCTAATACTCTTTGTAGAGATGAATATCATTATGGTTGAAAACAGTATATACATACAAGTGTTTGCTGTTGTGGTTTTTATTGACTTGTGTTAATTGATTTCCTCTCCCTTAATATTGCAATATTACTTTAAGCTGAAAGTACATGGCTTAATTGAATTAATTTTCATTTTAAATGACCGGGAAATGTTCTTCACTCAGCCTGAAATATATCGTGCTCCGGAGGTGAAGCATGTCGTTCTAAATTAAATAAGAAGATTACCTTCTTTTCTCTGTATTTTATCATTTTTTTAAGCAGGTTTTAAAGCTTTTACTGTCAAGCGCAGCAGGTTGCTAGGCAACAGGAGCAGGTAAAGCTGATGACACAGAAGGAAGTCCGCCCCGAAGGCCAGAGGTGACATTTCTGAGACCACTCGGTTCAGCCACAAAGGCTCCAGGAGGCAACAAGGATGCAGCCCAGTGAAATGAGACACAATAAAATAAGGCTGCACAACAAAGAAGCATCTCAGATGCCTTCGTGTGTTGTGAGTCATGCAGACGACATAAACCACCAGGTTCAAAGTGTTACCTTATTAAGAAGGTTGCAGTAGAAATGTGTACGCGGGAGGCAGGAGGGGGGTTGGGCCTGAACAGGAGACTCACCTGACCAGCAGTGGCTGGGGGAAGCAACTTGTGGTCCGTGTTTTCACCACTTCCTGGAGATCCAATAGGTTTGTCAGCAGTGTTCCGTACCCACATTTGTCGATCTTGGTGACGACCAGCTGCACAACAAAGTGTTTGTCACATTACAATATGGGAAGTAAAAGCATGGAGATACGAGACGCAGCATTGTGATTCTCATAGTCTTTGAATTTAGGAATCAACTGATCCACCGCTAAGAGTCTCTCCATTTCCATTCCCACAGGTTTCAGTGTTACAGCTCTGAGCTTTTATTGGAATATGATGAATGCATGAAACGACGGAAAGCTGACTGAGCTACATCTTATCCTTCATCATCACAACATAATGGCAGCATAAAAAAAAACATTCATCTAGAGCAGGCGTGAACCAGCGTGTGTGCAGTATGTGTGTTGCAGTCCGTCTGTCCGCGGTCAATCAAGCAAACTGATGGTCCTTCGCTCTTATATTTCAACTGCGCTGATTGACATATTTATAAAAACATTTTATTGACTCCTCTCAGGCAGCCGCTGGGAGTCGACACCAATCAACTGCTCCAGTGAGGGGGAGGGGGGGGGGGGGAGTTGTTCCTTTCTGATTCGTTTCCTTCATCTAAACTGATGCTGAGACAGTAAAGTACTGAGTACAGTTGACATCGAACACACCCTAAGACCCAAGAAGCTCGTGTGTCTTGCTTCCAAAGGGAGAAGAGAGCCTGTGCGAGTGCACTACTTTCCTTAGGAAAAGGCCAAAAGTAGATTACCGGTTTAATAAATGTACGTTAACACTTCAGTTTGGAAATCGAGCGTTTAAGGTTTTTCTTGGCGTTTCCTTTGCCTTTGAGCAGTGAGACTTCATCTCTGTAAAAAAGTGCTGCTGTCAAAGCCTCACTAACGGTCCAAGTGTTTAATCACCGGCGCATGAATAATTGACTGCAGAGCGCTTAATTATAACGCCTCCGCGTCGGCATTTCACAGGGAACAGCAGTTTTTAAATAGCTGAGTGAGAGCGTTCAGCATTAATTCACTGTGGACTTAATGATGAAGATTTGTAAGAATGAGTCAAATGTGAAAAAAAAAAAAGAGTCAAAGAGGAGGGGGGGGGGCTGGTTAGCGGTGGAGCTCACCGACTCCACTAGATAGTGGAGATCATTTCCATTAACAGGCAAGCTGCTGTTGCTGATTTAAAAAGGTCCAATATGTACCATCTGCTCTTAATTTAGTGTTGATATATTATACCAGAGGTCCCCAACCACAGGTTTGACTCTTCACTGGGTCATTAAGGGTCCCAACCCCCCCGTTGGACCACTTACTATTTCGTCCGTGAGGCAAAACCCCTCTCAACAGAGTCCCGCCAAGCCAAAGACGAGGTTTAACTAACCTAATTAGATGTCGGTACCATGGTGACTGGCTCCGCCCCTTGACTGAGCGGGCGAGCAGAAACAGCCTCGCAAGCAAGAATTTTGGCGAGTGAGCGAATCTCTGGCGCACGAGGGACTTTTGCTTGCGGGACGGACTGGTGAATGTTTGATGTGCACATGGAGCCGGTCTGCGCTGTTGGATTTTGACAATGACTCCATGTCTTCATGCAAAGCTGTGGCTTCTTTCTCTGTTTCAGAAACTGAATTTGAAAAAATAGGCCGATGCATTAAGTAAAGACTATATGATAGTTGTGTAACTTGAAAAAAGTGTGGTTGGACTTCAACGTTTCTGACTTCTAGAGCAAGGATTCCCAAAGTGTGACGCGTGCACCCCTGGGGGCGCGCCAGCGCCCTCTAGGGGCTACATTCTGTACAGCAGACTAACAAACGCGTGAGAAAACTGTTCTGTCATTGATCCAATTTGAATGCAGCTATAGATAGAAATCTTGTTTGGTTGTGTGGGGCACTGGGGGTGTAGGGGGGGGGTGAATAATGTACCGTTAATGAGATGACACATTGGATGTTTGTTTTCTCCACAGCGCTCACACTTATGTTCCGACCTTGGTTGCGGTTTGTGGGGTCAGAAAGGGTATCGGCCACTTTTCAGGCTACCAGCAGGAACTGAGTGTCCTACTCACAGAGCTGCTGACCTCCATAATTGACGCCCAGACAGTCGAAATAGTTGCAGTTTGCATTTGTTTTTGTCGATGAAGCAAATGACTGAGCGCTGCGTCATTTGAGCATATGAGACGGGGACGAATTGAGCTGCGTGATTCTAGAATCCTAATTATAATCAACAATCTCAATAGCAGTTTTCTTTCGCTGTACTCATCTAATCAGCTTTGGAGCAAAGAGTTCTACAATTTTTACAACGATACGACCCGTCAGTGTTTCCCTAGAGAACAAGGTGTGTCCTACCACGTAGGGACGTCTGATCTCCTCACACATCTCCAGGGCGATCATGTCGGCTTTCTGAAAACCAACGCTGCCGTCCACCAACAGGAACGTCCTGACCAGACTGACAGACGACACATTGGCAAAAGGTTACATGGAGCATCCAGCAGGTTAGCGGGTGGGACTGGGGGGGGTCACACAGTACCACCCGGTGGACCAGGGTGGGAGACATTACTTAGTCAAACGCATACGTCTCAGTGTTTGACCACCACAGTAGAGACTTCATTGTGAACACAGGACGTCCATCTCATGTGGATTCATCTTGCCAGCGGCTTTGTCTCGGAGCCGAAAGGACCCGTGTTCATTTTAAAATCAGCCGACGGGTGTGAAAAGGGTTCGACTTTACACCGCTGTGGAATTACAGGAAGCGGTCTCTAATTCTACAAGTGGTGATTCTCTCTCTCTCTGAAACACAAGAGCAGATGATGATGTCATATTCGACTATCATCATTAGCTCGACAAACTGCAGAAATACTGCGTACACGAGAAAAAGATCACACCAGAATATTTTCCTTTCATGGGCCAGTGGAGTTCAGTTCTTTGCTTTTACAGATTTCTAAATTATCTTCCTTTTCTTTGTCAAGAGATCAATATAAAATGTTTTATTTCAACCAAACAATGTGAATCTACAGTAAATAAAGAGTCAATTATGACTATTACTAAAGTGCACCTGGACAATCATTCATGTCTCTGTTTTCTTTAAGTCATATAAATCCCCTCACAGGGATGAGTCTCAGTTGGGGGGGGGTCATGTTTTCAGGACTCTGCAGACACCATCACCTGTTTGAGGGGCCCTTCGCTGGCCTCAGGAGGTTCACTGAAGTAAATGTCTTACTTCTTCCTGGTGAGGAGATACGGCTCCACCATGTCAACAAAGTCTTTGGGTGCTCTGTGTCCGTAGCCGGGCATGTCAACGATGGTGAACGCTTTGCCCACTCTGAAGAAGTTCATCTTCTTTGTGTGACCCTAAGGACCAAGGGACAAAGACGATGAGGTCTTTCTACACGTGGAACGCTTAACACTCCATAAAGCGCCAACTGACGTCTACGTGTGAGCTCACCAGGACACACTGCGTGTGAAGGCTACGACTACTCACTGGCGTTTTGGAGACTCTGACTTCTATCTGTGGCGTCAGGGAGAACAGACCTTTGATGAGGGACGACTTGCCCACGTTGCTCCTGCCGATGAAACACACCTAAGAACACACACACACACACACACACGTTGCGTAATACTGCGGTACAGATCCGACCTCTTCATGGAAAGCTAAATCGCTCTGTTACAGTTTGTGCTTGACTTTTTCACTTCCAAAGTTCCTCCAGTTTTTCCTCATTGACGTCACTTTATCCAGCACGCCGGCTCCGACTGCTGCTGCAGCTCCACAGACCCACCGAGCCCCCCGGGACATCCATCTCTCCCACGCGCCACAGATGGATGGAGGCCTGTGCTGCCAGCAAGCCCCAAATTCATCATCCTGTGACAGAGTGGCGACTCACTCGGCATGCCAAAGGAGCCGCGCTGTCCCGTCAACAGCATGTTCCACTCCGAGCCCTCCGGCGCTCACCTCCGTCCATAAGGTTATAAATCTGCTCATCTATTATCGGGTGTCAACCCCTGCTTGATTATGTATGAGGCTGCAGGAGGGTAAGGAGACATTAGGCAACATTCTTCACAGGCTGAGTGCCCCCGTGATGGTCGAGGAAGGGCAACGTGAGGTGGTGTGGTGAGTCGGGGTAAAGCTTTGTAATAAGGATGATTCATAGGTGATCTACATGCTAAGCAGTCATGTAAAAGCATTCGAAATGTTCTGAATAACAAAATGTAGCACCTCAAAGGATGGAGACTTTGGCGCCTTAACCACATGAGGTTAGTAAAGAATAAAGAATAATAAGAAGTTGAGCTCAGGGCGGAACAGAGAGAACAAGAGGTCACAAGAAAAATGACCTAAATTCATAAGCTTTACAGAGATGATTGATTCCAACTCTTTTGTAAATGCATTGACAGAAAACGTTGCCATGTGAATATGAGGATGTGTGAGACCTGAGGAACATCCCTGCTTGTGTTCAGCACAAAAAACCCGTCGACAAGACGCATCTGTATGACCACGTCTGCCCCCGTGGGATGACACGTGACCCTTACGTGTACCTTACACCAACGTCTTCTGTAACTAGCAAACTGTTAATGATGTACCTGCACCGAAAGAAACCCGTCCGGCATTAAAGCGTTTTATCCGGCGGGCCCTGTGGTTCTTTGCTGGGGCCTCCACCGTCTCTACAGCACATGTCTACCGAGTTCAGTCGTGGTCGGGACACGTTGGGAGCACAGTTGTTAACAGCGTGACAGAGGACACTCGCTAACCTCAGGCGGTTTCAGCGCAGGGACGTGGTCCATCCTTTCCGCAGAGATGTAGTAATCAATCTTATGGGATGGAGACGAGTTGAAGAGCTTCTCTGCTTCAACCATGTCCTCCAAACTGGGATGAAAGAGCTGGAACTGAGTCCTGTCCACTGACCTGAAAACAAAGGACTCACTTCACGCTCTGAAAGAGTACCTGGACAAAGACATGCTGCCTCTGGAATCTACACACTCCTTTCAGATGAAAGCAAAGACACTACCTGTCCAGGTAAGCCTCCAGAGCACTGAAGGGGTAGAGTAAGCTTTGGGCTTTCTTTGGGGGCAGAACGGTTGCTTTCTGAAGCGAGGCCAGTTTGTGGACACTGTGCCAGGAGACAGGACAAACCTGTGTCCCAGGCTGAAGCCAAAGGGACAGCCGGAGACCAAACATCTTCCTCTGCAGGTCTCAGACCAGCCTGCAGCGGAGAGAAGGATCCGGTGATTACGTGCAGCCTTGTCGAACATTCTGCTGTAAACTAGCGTTGGTGTGGATCCGGCGTGACGTCACTTTCGCCCCACATATTACTGCCGACTACACGAGGTTATTACACATATGTAACCTTAGTTAACAGGGAACGAGAGACATGTTAGTCCGGAAGGATTGTAAAATATGTTGTAGAAAGACATTTATAAAAAGTAGCGTTAACCTTCTCGGTGTGACTTTAGCTGTGCACCTGAGGAAGAATAGTTTGGCTAGCAAACTACCTAAACATTAGCATTGAGCTACAAACATTAGCATTAAGCTACGTAACATTTCAGGATGCGGGTTCATTTCACTACTTACCGAACATCCAATATTTCCATTGCTATAAAATGAAGGAATGAACTCTGGTGAAAACTGTCACCAACATAACTGTCCTGTTACAAGTTCTTCCACTGTCCTCCATGTCACGTGCACCGCTCAAATAAGTCCGACTGAAACAATTCTCATTCAAGGTTCCGCTGCCTTTGTTGTTATTTTAACAAACCATTCGGAATCTTATAATAATAAACTAATCGAAATAAAATAAATAAATTTGTTTGTACATATTTCTTAATACTAAATATCAGCAATAGTAGCAGTAGTAATATAATAACTAATCTTAATGTGTGTGTTTTAGTAAAGCATAGGCTGAAAAGAGATTAATTCTATATCTTAGTAATAATAATACATTTTATTTATATAGCACTTTTACAAAATACTCAGACGCTTTACATGGTTAAAATAAAGATAAACAAAGACATCTTGCATTGAGGGTACAGTGCTAACCACCACACCACCGTGCTGCCCATCAGTGTCACAGTCTCCTGTTAAAAGCCTCCTTGACCTCGGTTAGCGGCTCTCGCCTTCCTGAGCCACTGTGTTGTATTTGGTCATAGAGTGTGGTTTGTTTCTACACTAAACAACATTGCATACACGCTCTCCACTCACGCACTCACCTTAACTACAACAGTTGCTGATACCACACTCCACTGTGTCTTTCTTGGTAAATTGAATCTAATACTTACTTAATCTGCTTGGTTGTGTGTGTCTCTGCTGTCATGGCCGTGCGGCCCGCTTGGTGACGAGTGGGGGCTTGTACAGCGCTGCGATCACATCTCCATCCTTGTGCTAATCCATCGATTAGCGATCGGGGGAGTAATTGTTTCATATCCAGCCACATTCTTCATATTGATGCATGGCTGGTAGCACGCATAGCAGCATTCCCGCTGCTGGTGGGGGGGGGACGTCTCCCCTCCCCGGGGGAAGGTACTGTTCTAGCTGTCACATACATCCTCCATCACCCTCTTGGTGGGGATTATTGAGAATCACAATACTGACGTTTGCGTAGAGCGCGCCAAGGAAACGTCCTCATAAATTCGGTTGGAGGAGGTGGCAGTGATAAGAGCGCCTCCAGGCTTCTCTCCCACTCCGCATTCCTGCGCGCTGAGTTTCCTGGTAGGAAATGGACTTTCGTCGATAGTCAGGAAGGTGGTCAGGTTTCACAGGTCCATGAGCACAAAGTGCTTATTCTCCTCCTAGTTGGGGGACAAGAGATCACTTCTAATATTTATCCAGCTATGATTGATGATTTGAGAGGTACGGAACATTCGGCACACTGGGGGCTTTCTCACTTTCAGCTTTAAGAATCCAAGTGATCCACTCATGGGTCGCCCACTATTTGGGGACCCCTTTCTCTCCACATGATGGCAGTGCAGACCTGGTAAAAGCGGCGCTCTGCAAGCTAATTAAATGTCTGCCTTCGCCACCTCGTGCCAATCCTCCCTCTGCTCCATCTGGCTTTTATGACCTGATGTGATTCATAGGAAGTTCACCGAGCAAATTAATTCACACGGTCTCCAATTACAGCTCTCATATTCTCCCTGTCCTTTTGCAGTGGGGTCTTTTATATTCTAATATGCCGTCTGGTAAGGCCTGTGCCTCGTTTCATTTATCACCCGTTTAAGAGAATACCATATGAATCAAGGGCCTTATTACGATTGAAAATGAAGTATGTAACTGATTCATTCCCCCCGTCTCTGTCTTTCTTTATTGACTGTGTGTCTTGTGCAGCGTTGAATGAGTGCGGCGCTTGTGTTCAGCGGTGAAATAAATAGCTTGGATCGAAATAAGAATGAAACGAGGAGCAGATGATTGCTGCTTGGTTTATTTGAACGCTTCACTATTGCACAGACGAGATGATGGGGCGCCTAATAGGTGGACGTTTTTAGCTGTCAGCCATTTATGAGGCTTTCGGCACGTGAATCCGTGTAGGAAGCCTTTAAAAACCCACAGCCCAGCCGGCCTTTTTGTTAGGAAGCACATGTGTGGAGACTGTGAAGGACGCACAGCAGCAGCAGCAGGGAGGAGGGGATGAGGGGACGGACAGGGAACCCAGGGGCGGGCGGGTGGGCGGCCATGGGCCCATCACCACATCCTTCACCGTGAGCCTGAGTATCAAATGCCACGGCGATCAATTGTCCACGAGCAGACGTCCATGGTGAGGGCCGCGTTGACATTTACCTCCGCGGGCTGCTATCAATAAAATAAAAAGAAAGATATCATACAACATTGATTTTCCTCAAGCAACCTTCCCACCCACACCATCAAGCCCTGCCTTCTGCCATCAGCAGCATCATCATTTGTTTTTTGGCTCCACATTCTCTCTCTAATCATTGCCTCTGTCTGCTGCAGGCCTCTCGTTGAGCTTGATTGATGCACAACAGACAGCGTGACCGGGGCTTTGAGGCCCCCCAGGAGCCCTTGTGGTCCCTTTGACCGTGTAGCACAAGGAACGAGTGCAGGCGCACCGCTGACCAGTCTCCCTCAGACACGGTGATGCCGCTCTAATCTGACATTGACCCATCAAAAAGCTTGACCCAGGTGACCCATTGAAGCACTCATTTACATGTTAACCGTTGCACTCCCCCTAACCTCCCGCTCGGCCTCCATTCCTCCCACCCGCGGCGTGACAGCGGCACAATGGGCCGCGCGCCGGCAGAATACCAAGAAGCAAATACCAAAGCTTTTGTTCGTCCACAGGGATGAAGTACGGAGGAGTTTATCGAGCCGAGGAGGTCAAACTATCAGTGCGCCTCATAAAAAAACAAACACACACACACACACAGCTGCCACACACCCGCTCGAGAGACCGCTGGAGATTACCAGGGGGCTGCATTCGTTCCGTCCGCCCATCTGGCCCGGACATCCTCAATGTGCCCGTGGTCAGTGTGTGGACAAGTGGACAACTGTTTCCAGAAGCCGTAATATTTAATCGTGGGCGAGCCGGCTCCCTCCAGCTTTCCCTCCCTCATCACTCCGTCTCTGTTAAGTAAATAGAAGAAAGGCCGCTTGTGAGAAGAGAAAAGCGGCGCTGTTCCAAATGAGGTGAATCACCCGGCACATCAATAATATTCAGCCTCCTCCCTAAACTGGAGCGAAGACTGACTGCAACTTTTAATAAGAATTGCATTAGAGCATAAATCGCGTGTGCTGCCCCTGCTTTCCTGAGGATCCTACCTCTTCTTTCCCTGTTCCCCCGGGTCTCTTTCTAAGCATCTCGCATGAATACAGCGCGAATGTTTGGAGGATATTAGAGCACAAGCGCTCAGGGATATCGATTCAGCTTTAGCGGTCAAGAGCCACTGCTCTACTGGCATCGATATGCAGAGGGAAGGGGGTTGAATGAGGAGGAGTAACCTTGGGCCAGGAAACAATCCTGACAAATAAAGCGCCTGCAAGGAAATGCAGGGAAAGAAAGCACGGGAGACGTCACCGGGTCGGGGTGTAGCTGTGAGGTCCACACAGACACAATGAGAGAAAGTCTTCTCTTTCTTATTCTGATTGCTATCGATTTAGAAGCAGCGATTATTTGAGGGAACACACGTAAATGTGTGTTTGGGATAGAACCACCGTGCTGGAAAGAAACAGATAAATGTTTCTGTGCTTCTGTGTGGAGAAAGTTTGACTGTGGAGTTCTTTTGCTATCATGGTTTTACCTGTTTTGACAGAGAATGCAAGGTTAAGGCGTAGTATTGTCGTCGGGTATCAGACCCCAAGGTTTTCACAAATGGAGACAACCGAGACACGAGATTTAGATTCCTTGTCTATATTAAACTAATCGGCTTCTTCAGTTCAGTTGGAAGCTTCGCTCTGTTTCAGTCTGACTGATGTTTACTCACTCCAACAATAAATAACATCTGAAACAACACGCGCACACACAATCGTCCTCCTGCTGGGTCACATGAAAATGCATCCGAGACCAATTAAAAACCACAGGACGCCATTTTCTCAGAAGCAACACTGATGCTCCGTATCTGCAGCTGGAAAATGAAAATAAGAAAACTACACGCAGAAGAATATTGCATCGGCTCTTGAACTTGATTATCCATCTGATGAATTCATCCACGCGGAAGCGGTGTGGAAGCACGGCGGTGGTGTGTTGGAACGGCGAGGTAACCTTTAGATTTCTCGGGTCATGATTCAGAATTTAGACCGCTCCCTCCATCAGCTAAACAATTACCACTGGCAGCACCCCACTTTCTCTTCTCTGTATCAGCTTTTTGCCTCATTCTCTGCTCTCTATCGCTTCTCTTTGTCCGTCACACACACACACGCACACACACACACACACACACACACACTTGCACTGCCTCTCCGCGTCCACCATCTTTCTCTCTTTCATTCCAGAGAGATGATTTATTTTGTTTCTCCCGTCTCCTCCTCCAGTCCTGTGCCGCCCTCGGGGTCAGTGCCGAGCTCCATCACTGTCTGGATCCTTAATCCCCACACTGGAGACGCCCGTGCCAATACGGGGGAATAACAGATTAAAAAATGCGCCCGACCTCCGAGTAGCTCCCCTTTTCTCTCCCTGTGTCCCGGCCTCCCTTCGTCCACAAAATAGATAAGTGGAAAAATAAACTTGGAGGGAGCTAAGCCGGAGTTGAGAGGCGATCCAGGATGACGCAGAAGCTTCCAGCGTGGTGGTTAATGAAGGTGAGGCAGTAAAGCAAGGCCCTCTGCAGAGGTTTGAGTTACAGCACTGGAGCCTTGGGTGGTGACACGACTGCAGGCGGGAAGCTTTCTACTCGCCTGCAATTGTCTAAGGAAGATACATGGTTGACCCCGGAATAAAAAATATGAGCATCAGAACATAAAAGTAATGAAAGCTCAGGAACCGTTTTCACACAACCGAAATGAATGGCTCTGTCTCCAAGACTGCAGAGTGAGCGTTGGGAGGACGGAGTTTTCTGGTCAATGGGAACAGAAAGTCCAATAAATAAAAATAATCTGTGGGGAAACAAGAAAAAAGAAAATTCTCAACTGGAGCACCTTGTGTGACAGAAATACATGAATTTGTCAGGCGACATGATTAAAATGTATTGGCCATGAAAAGCAAAGATTCATCTTTTTCAAGGTATCTATAGATCTATAGACGCACTGGTCAGAACTAGTTATGTA